GGCATGGGCCAGTAGGTTTGGGTGCGGAGCGAGCTGCGAAACGGGTTGCTTGCGCGCGTCGTCATGTGTGGCACCCGAAGAGCAAATCGAGAACATACTTCATGGGCTTTACAACTTTACAAACCAAGCAAAAGTTCAAAACAAGCGCAGCCCATACCACAAGCAGAGTATACTTGAGTATACGTGTAGCGCAGAGAAGCAGCTGAGGCCGATGTCGTCTGGTGCCAGGTGGCATGGCTTGCAGCGCTCGAACTCCCGTTCAAGTACACCTCCGTCCCCAGTTTAGGCGCACAAAAAGCATCGTGTTAGCGTCCTGGGCTCTCAGGAAAGGGAGTGCCGGTTCATGCAACAAATTGTGCAATCACGAAGCCTTGCGACTCGACACAGTTTCTTAGCTCAAGATGGCACATGGAATCTTGAAGGGGGCACGGGCACATCCAGAAAGTGCATACACGTGGCAGCGTACCATGCCTGTGCGTGACGCAGGCCCACTCGACTCATGACAAGAAAGCTCAATGTACTGACCTGGCAGGGCTTTACAAAGACCAAGAGACCCTGCGTAGGCCAGCTGTGAACTTGGAGCCCGAGAATAGGTTGGATTGATTAATCGTAGTCGCGTTTCCACTATGAGCTTCCGCTGGCATCACCTTGAGCGGGTCTGAATTGGAGATCCGATCCGCTTTTCGGGTCCACCCGGTCACCAATCGTTTGACGTTGCTAGTTCTGCACATGAACACAATGCCGCTTGTTGGCACTCTCTTGTTAATGATTATTAATGATGCAAAATCCCTTGCGCTTCCCATCCCACAGAGTCAACACATCCGATGAGCCGCATCAGCCTGTTCCCAGGAAGAGCCGAAGAACATGGGAGCCTGGTCGTACGTCTCGCCGAGGCACGCGAGAGTGCAAATGTGCACATTGCACATCATTGCGCAGCTCCCATAAAGGGTTTGATCCGAGGCTTTGCACCGGTGCCCATACCCCGATTGACTTGGGCTGTGGCAATGTCTTCTCGCATAGGAAAGTTTGCAACACAATGTCACAGGACTTGGGTGCAAAAACATCTGGGATTCTGTTGCCAACAGTTCAACTCTAGAAATGCAGCCTCTGGTCAGGCTGGCCACCTGCGTTGAGAAGGACGTGGCGTTCGCTACTTTGGTGCATGGACTGCCCTGTCTGGGGCCGGGTTGAGAGTCTCAGGTTCTAGAGGGTCTGTTTGGAGAAGAAGGTCGAAAACGCTGGCCTACGCCTCCCCCCCCGAACCTCAAAACCTGGGAGCCCGAACCTCCAAATGCACGAAATCCACCTCCGCACGCTCCGCGCCGATGACTCGCAGACACCACGCAGAGACGAATCCCAGTGACCCCCCCCCCCCCCCCTGCACGACCAACGCTCGGACCTCAAGCGACCCCTCAGTCTGAGGTCGGACGGCCAGTGAGCGCGGCGCCGGCCACGGGCTCCGCGCAGATCCACCGCGAGGAATGGAAAGATGACATGGAAGATTATGGTCAAAATGTGAAACATGCGGAAAATGATCACATCTCGCGCATGATTGCCTGCGTTGCAGGTGTCCTCGCTGGTTCGTTTTGGGAGGGCGCTTCCCTGATGCTTGTGTGCATGGGATAGCAGGGTTTGACCGTGCTTCATTCAATTCATCGAGCATGTGTTGCTTTAACCTTGTAAACAGCGGCGGTGGGGTTCAACCAGTGTGAACAAGCTACCACATACATTTAGAGGCATGAGCTTTATGCTCTTCCGACCCCATTGCAACTGCCAGACGACCTACCCGAAGCCTCGGAGAAACCACCACATTTCCAAACTGTTCCGATTGTGTTCCCTCGGGTTCGGCACCCGAACCCGCGCAAGCCATCACAGCTAGCCACTAGCCGGAGGAGACACGGCTTATCCTAGACATGGCCTTTGCCAACTGAGCACCAGCTGCCTTCGCGACGCCAAAGTACAGGAAAGCGCCCAAGGCTTGATTCAAAAAGAGAGCTGCGCAGAGCTTTCTGCAAGGTGCCGTCATGAAGCTCTATTGCTGTTGGTGTCGCATCTGGGGCTCCATGACCTAGATGTCTTGATCCTGTTGATCAGTCTAGGTGATGTTTGTGCGTGCCACCGCTGAGATCAGAGCCTGCCTTTCCGGGGGACTTCCGCAAGACCCATGCGTTCTCGCCATGAACGAATGCTTCTGAACCTCAATCCGCCGCACGAAGAGGTACTGCGCAGAGCACCGACAAGAAGACCGAGGAGAAACCGAGGCCACTCTGGCATCGTTAAGAATTCGAGGCGCCGTGACTGGGAATCTGCACGCTTTGTTGATAATCTGTTTCCTTCACTTCGATAGGCCTTTCGAAGCACTTGTCTCTTCATTCCTGTAGCAAGGTCGGTTCGTGCGCTAGAAGCGTCGGGGTGTCGGCTTAAGGGGACATGCCAACAAAAAAACATTAAAAACAACTCACCCTGCCTAAAGAGCGCCCCGCTTGAAGAGATGCGAGACTGCTTGGGCCGGCCATTTTGGGCCTCTCCTCTGGCCCCTTCTTTGTCCCCCAGCAGCCTTTTCCAAAGGCAACTCAGCACCTTCGCCAGGACCCCCAAGTCGCGGCCGACGACGCCACAGGTGCCGGATCTCGCTGGAGTTCGCGCTGGATTGCAAGGTACTTGCGACTTCAGAAACTTTCGGAAGTCTTTCGGAAACCTGCAGGTGACCCAAACCCCACGGGACCAGCTGAAGTCAGCGGCGCGGCGCGTGAAGGCGCTCTGGAACCAATACATTTTGGAGTCAATTTTTGAGACTTGGGGGCGCCTTAAGCCTTCAAAGCGCGTTAAATCGCAACGGGTAGCTGTGAAAGATGGTTGCTGAAAGCTCAACGCCAAAAAAGGCCGACTTTATGGTCCGCAGAATCCATAGCGTTTCCCGCATTTAGGGCAATTTGAGAGCATCTTCGGTCCGAATTCCCTGAAAAAAGCTCCAGGTCGGCCTTTTGCTGATGGTTTTGGGTAATTCTGAAGGAAGTCTTTGTGTTGAACTCCATGCGGCGATTGAAGCTTGTGCTGTGCTGCGAGGCTTCTGGGTTAAACGCTACAAACCCTGCAGGCTTATAGGGCATGAACCTTTTCCCCCTTACCCTCCCTGCTCGAACCGAGTTGAGTTCACTTGAACCCAGATAGATATGTCGGTATAACTTTTCAGGAGCGCCACGTCACGCTCCGCGTGAAGAACCTGCGTTCCACGGCTGCAGCGCCTCCATGGGGAGTGACAAAACACGGCAAAAAACACGGCTTTAAAAAAGAACCGCTTTGCTTTCTTGGGGTTCTGAGTAGATTGGAAGAGGTGGGAAAAGGGCATCTGATGTTGCTGGGAAGCGGCATGAAGCGGCTGTTGAGACTGAAAATGACTGGAAAGGTTTCATGGCCAGCCTCAACGAAGAGGCGCTGCGGACGCAGGCCTCTGCACGCCTCTGCACGCTCCCAGAGTTTGCTTGGAAGGCTAATTCTGGTGGTCGTTGATTGCGTCTTTGTTGTGGTCTGTGGGGTCTGTGGCTGGGGCTAGAAGCAGCGATGCGGGGTCAATATGGTTTAATAAAGCCAGTGGCCGGCTCCTGTGATCTGAATGTGCCCAAGGTCTGGGTATTGTTGAACCCCAAACACATCCTAAGTGTCTTAAACTTGAAGAAACAGCTCACAAGAACCTTCTGGCAGGCTGACACGCGTACTCTTCCCTTTCCTGCATCTGGAAAACAACTGTCAAGGTCGCCGATGTGACTTCGACCTGTCCTGCCCCCACCGAGTTCTCTCCTCTCGATGCAGTGTATGCAGTGTGTCCCGCTTCCCATCACGAACCCTCACGAACCCTCAGCCGTCCTTCACCGGGAACCTCAGCCGCCACCGGTGGCCCTGTCCCTGCTCCTGCTCCCAAATTTGGCAAAGTGAAGGCTTGAGGCCTTAACAGGCCTTAAAGAACCGAGTGAAAGCACTTAAACAGAAAGGGGGTTCCCAACGTTTGAACGCAGGGCCGCCTCTGGGCGCTGCTCGAACGCAGCGAGGGCGCTCTCCTGCCGGAGGCCGTGACTTGGGGCCTTTCTGAGGCCATTGTGAATTTTGACAAGCATCCTGCCCAGTACATGTAAATCGTTCGGCACAAGGCCGCTCAACAGCCCCCTTCTTGAAGCCATTTGAAGACCCTCCTGAGACATCACCAGCTGCTCGGGGTCGGTGTGACAACGAGACGAAACAGTGAGCGCACTCCGCTGGGCAGATCTCGGTGACGCAGAAAGGGGTGATCTTCGACCTCGTTGCCCAGCTCCTCGACTTCGCGCTGAGCGAGCCGGGGCGCCCATGGGGCGCCCATGGGGCTATGGGGGGTTGTGCAAAGCAGCATTGCGGCCTAGGAAGAGTTTTTCACGAGGAGTGTTTAGCTGCATAGCTGCGACGATAAGGTGTAGAAAGAAAACACCAAAAGAGAAGGTTTGAATTGCAGGTTCAAGATTCGGTCGATTGGCCAAGGCTGTGAACGAGAGCAAAACGCGAAGCCATGTCTGTCCTCCCACAGCCTTTTCCTCCATTCGCAGAGCTTTGTTGTGCGCAAATGTGCAAAACGAGAAAACACGTTAAACGACCATAGCAATTTTTGGGGCCAGCAATTGGTATTGGTTTTGTTCGTAGGCCCGACGGTGTTGTGCAAGGTGGTGCAGTGTCGACTTCAGAGTTTTTCTTGATTGCCTGGGGCCCCAAAAGCCCATAAGGCCGTGTGGCCTCATTTGGCCTCAAAAACTGGAAGCCTGTCTTGAATGCGTAGCAAGACGGCTGCTAGCCGACTCTACAAGAGGAAGATCCTTTCGAGCATGGGCGACTGCAAGCAGTGACCTGAATCTCTACTCAACAACCTTTGAAGAATCGGAACTGAGCTATAGCAGCTTGATTCTCCCCGTTTGCGTGGCTAGATATAGCATGTCCAGTTGAAACTCACACCGGGCTGGAATCAGAGTTGCAGAGTGCAGCAAGAAGATGTCAATATGTCTCCTATGTTTCCCCTTTCGCTGAGGGCTGGGCGAATGTCGGGCAATGCATCGATGCCTCCTGCCGCAGCCTCATATCTCAACATGCAACTCACACTTCGGTCAAGGAAAGTCTATCCGAGGCATCTTGTTGTTCTCAGTTTGCTGAAAGTTTGCTTTCTATCAACACAGTGAGTCCTCAATGTTACCTTACGCCGCCGCCACCGTAGCGATACGTAGTTGATGAAATCTTTGACCAGCGACTCGCATGTGAGTGGACCGAAGGGCATCGACAAAAACACAGGAGTTTATCTGCAACACAGGACCAACAAGTGCCTCAAGAACGAAACCCTTGCGAGACCTGGAGCCCTCGACTCCCCAGGTCCGGGTGTTCGAGAGGGCCTTGTCTTTCGCCCTGGCCCTGGAGCACGGCAAGGACAGTGCTGGGAGCTTTGTGCTGTAGAGCTGAGGGTTGTGATGGGTTGCGTTATGTCGCAGTTATGCCTGTCATGTTCTGTTTTGAGGCGATTCAAGTGACTCGGACTTTGAGGGTTGGTTGGTCTTTTGTGGTCTTTGGGGCCGACGGTGCTAAGACGTGTTCACCATTGATCGCAAAGCCACACTGACAGAGGACGGCCGTTGTCTTGAACACGTATACGCAGCCGACCAGACTTACGATTCCTTTCGTTCCCCGTGAGAGAGCAAACCGACGCTTGAGGAAAGCAAAGCGCCCCCGATGCCTGCTGTTCTTCATCTTAGAGAGGGCTGACGGGTGAGGGATCCAGTCAAGGAGATCGCTGTACCAGTGGACTCTCGGACACAGGCTTGGGATTTGGGATGTTACGGTTAGTCAAGATGGTTACTCTTGAGGAACCCGAGGTCATGTATAGGCGTTGGCTAGGCCAGATGAGGGCTGATACTTTCGCGAGCATCCGGCGGCGTTGCAGAATGGGACGACACCTCAAGTTCCAGTAGGTCTGACCACGTGAACGGATCCCTGACTCTGACTCGGACCCGACATTAAAGTCACCTTTACAGCACTACAGGCCCGAACCGGCAGCCGGCGGTCAAAGTATGATTTGAGGCTTTGGCGGAAGCGGTATCATCGTACCAAGTTTTGTCATCACCGCGAACGAGAAACCCATAGCTGCCATGTTCTGCCCATAGCATATGCGGGCCTATCGTGCATCAGCCAAGCCCACTGGCACTGTGCCAGGCCCTCAAGCTCGCCTCGCTCATTGACACACAACTCCTCTGCCAGGCTTGACCCGAGAAAAAACCTGATTGTTCGGGATGTGTTTGATGGGAAACTGCAAAGTGTCTCGGAGTCTCACACCATATCTCTTGCGCTAAGTTTCTCTCCGCACATCTCATGGCAACGCCCCTTCAGCCACAAAACCCAACCAGATAAGCAGGTCGACCGCTAGCCCCCCCGCCCTGTGTTTGCGTTGCTTCATGTAATGTTTCTACCGGTTTGGATCTTGGAAAAACATCCTCGTCAGCAATGCGTAAGTGCACTTGGTTGGGAGAGCTGTACGCACAGTAAAACCGGAAGCGGGAGCAACTCAAACTCAAAGCAACTCTTGAAGCGAAGATCTCGAAGCCGAGGTGGTAACAGGTCCCTTCCGCCGTCGGCTCCTGGCTCTGGCACGGCGGCGGGCGGAGGGTGGCTCCCTGGCGCCTTAAACGGGTGCAGCGTGCAGATGTGCGCAGATGCGTGCTGTGCAGCAACGCAGCACAGCCTGCGAGATCTCTGGATCGCATTTTGCATGGTGCCAAGGCTATGGAGGCCATGGCCGAGCCGCATCATCGGTGCTGAAGGCTTGTCTAATGAGCTTGTGAACACACCAGACTTGTGTCACTGTCATGTTTCTGCTTGCTTCGCGGCGTTTGAAAGTGTTTCTCATAGCTAACACCACAAAGCTGTGATCTGTTTGATTACGACTGAACGCCTCTAAGTCGGAATCCTTGTGGCTAAGCAGTGTTGCCCACCGCTCTCATTGCAACATGCCAACGAATAAGTTTCGGCTCTAACGCATTTCAGCTCCTTCGCCGATAGGGGCAATGGGGTGAATAGTAATTTCATGAAGTGGGAATGACAGGTCTTTTGTAGACGACTCTATCGAATCCGGGTTTTGAATGGAGTTTAGGTCACAGGTGCCTAAGTTGGGGTGAAGGTCTTTGCTTCGCATGTGGTTTCCGAACGTTTCCTATCATTTTGGGAGATGGAGACGCTGCTTGAAACGTTGAGAGCACCTGTTTGCCCCCTTTATTTCGGACCAGTTTGGGGTTTGGATTTGTTGGACTGAAAGTTATTAAGGGTTGACGGGGAAGTTGGTCCCAGGCCCTCCTCTCATCAGGAACGCCTGAAAGTTGTTGTTTGCTGTTTTCCGTTTGGGCAGCTGGACGTTGAGTGAGGGTCTGTGAGTGTTGGAGGCCTGGGAAGATGCAGCGAACGGCTGTTGCGAGCGTGTGGCTTCCTGCATCCAGCAGGAACCCGGCTGCCTGTAAAAGAGCTCTCGGCAGTTTGTCTTCTGTCAGTTTGAACATGAACACTGTAGTTATGTGCGGAGTTCTTGCGAGTGCTGAAAGGTGGTCGCGATGAAGGATTTCCCGAAAGCATACAATGATGACAGGGATACACCTCAGTACCTGTCACGAATCATCACGCAACCCCGAGAGCTTTCCTGCAACTTTTGTGCACTCCGAGATCTTCAAGTACTAAAGCAAGCTTAAGGGACTTTGGGAAATTTGGCATGTAAAAAATGATATAAAACGATGTGCAACGTGTAGTGCAAAAGTGTGCTGAGGCCGTGTGAACTGCCAAAAACTAAGAACACGAAGCGCGCATCGCAGGCTGTGGAGCGTAAGCCGGAGACTGGGCGCCATCAAGGCCAGGGTGATGCGCCTGATGTGTTTTTTTCCATCCCTTCAGCAAGGTCTAAAGCTGAATCTGTTGCCAGGGTTTTGGCTGCGGCGTTCTTGGGCTTCTGATTGAAGGGACGTCTTATCACCAGCCCAGGAAATGCCGCATAGCCGGCAGCTGAGCGATTCCTTGCCTTGTCTTGGAGCGATCTGCTTTTTGCATGTCGGAAGACTTGGAATCTCCTCAACTCTAAATGATCTTTCTACACAGAGTACAGCGCAGTACAGTGCCGTGACCTGTTCATCAGGAGGGGCGTTCGGCCCACGGTGAGGAGCGAATTCACTTAGAGATTTGCGTACTGCGGATGCCCGAACACGGCGGACATCACACAGCCACAAACCAGCCCAAACCCCGGAAACACCCTCCCCCCCCCCCCGCCCCCCCCGGCCCAAAAAAAAAGAAATGACATCCTAGTCCCTGCTTGACATTGGTGCCCTGGTCGCTCCAAGTCTCTTATATCGCATTCCAAGATTTCGGGCAGGGCTTTGGCACGAAATCCCATGAAATCTCTAGTTCCTCCTAGGTGGTCAGAAACTTGCAAAGCATCCCAGTTGTGCCACAATGCATGAAACATGTGCCGTCAGCTTGGAGAGAAGAACCTTGCAGAGAAAGCTCCGACTCAGGGCACCAATCTTTTGCGATGGCAGACGTGGCTCCGCGTTTCACCGCGTCTCACGAAATTGGGCTCAGCAGGGGAAGCTCCAACACCTCAACATCAACACGCGCTCACCCCTCAAATCCGAAGTCCTGAGCTCTAAACATATTTTTCCAAGCTCGCCAAACCTCGCCTTTGCCGTTTTGCCCCCCCCCCTACCGTATATTCCCGCAGCCGAAGGGTGATATTCATCAACTTTTGCGGCGCTCCAAATATTCAAGATTAGTCGTTGCTGGTGTTATTGTAAGTGGAGGGGTGTTTGGATTGCCATGCTTAGGACGAGGCATTGTAAAGGCCAGCCCTTCAGAGAAGTGTAGTCTGCCTCGCAGTATCTCACCATGCCCCATGCCTTCAATAAACCTCAGTCCGCCCTTGGATTGTGCAGCATGGACTCCGCATGGACCCCGAAATGCTGAGATCCGTGCAGACAGGCCCTGAATTCATCTGGGGTTTCTCGAGAGCATCAATGACATGTGAGATGGACCCTTAATGGGAAACCCCAAGCACCTGACTGGAAAAGACGGACAGGGTTGGAGAGTAGTCACTGGGTAGTCTCGTTTCTACACATTTGGAACCATTAGGATGCTCCGCTGGCTCTGCCCAGGGCTGCACTTCCCAAAATCTTCCGTGCCGGGATGAGATGACGTGTTCGATGTTTGTTTCTTCATATTTCTATGCAGTTCTAACACTTAGCCTGCATGGCGGAGCGGCGGAGTAGTTTCAATAGTTCCTGTCGCAAAGCTGCTGAGGCAGTGCTGAGCTCCACGCAGGACTCGAAAAATGTCTCGCATCAGCGTGCATCAGGTGGCAGCCTAGTCGTTCCGCGACTGTGCAATAATTTGCATGTAGAACAGAAACTTCTGCGGAAAAATCGAAGTCAGGCACCATGTGGGCCAACTGCCGACTATCCACAAATGGAGAACTACGATGTGCAGCGACCCGAAAACAGCAGATTCACTGCAACTGGGCGATCCCATGTGTGCTCTGCCCAATGCTAGAGACATTGAGAACTTGTTTCTCCAATCGCCTTTCCGAGGAGCCGGCAATGCGCGCACCCAGGTCTTTTCCCATGACCCCGCGGAGATTGGTCAAAGCAGGGGACAAGTGCTGAAGTCAGCCACCAAGCTGAGCCTGTCCGCATGTTTCCACTGGCGCTGCCGTGGCTGGGCAATAATGGCGCGGCAACGGGGAGTTGTCGCGCTCCTCCTTCTGCACATCCGCGCCGCCTTGCGCTGATGCGTGGCGGGAGCCTTTTGTGCCCTGACGCCGGGGCCGCCGCAGCAGTGCTGCATGTGCGCCGCAGAAATCGCACTGTCCGGAGCGGAGTTGTCAGGTTTCTTGGTCAGGGATTGTAGAGGAAATGTCGTTCACGGCTGTCAATTCAATCATGCGTGCTTCGGTGACATTTATATCGAATCGAATCGATCGCGCAATGCGCTCCAGTCTTCGGGTTCGGTGGCAGTGTTGTGTGTTTCGAAGCACCGCGACACCGGTGACGTCTACATCACACAGACAAAGAAACTGTACCCAAACAACTCTCCGGCGGCGTCTACAATGCGTTGGTCAAGGCCTGCAACGGCATCAACCGCAACGGAGACCGACGAGAGTTCTCTGAAAGAAGTCCTTTTGGGAGCAGATCTGGTACTGGCACTGGCGCTCATGTATCATGAACACAATGTCGCCAGCGGGACCGCTTCCGCATGCCTGCTGTACCCCTGTCCTCAATCTGCCCACCAAGGTTCTGATGGCTGCCTCGTCCGCCCAGTACATTTTCTGGAGATCGTTGCGACGAGATGGTCGTGACATGCACGACGTCCTGGTTCAGCTGTTGATCGGGCCTCTCTTTATTCCTGTTATGTGCCAAACCAGCAAAATAAGCTGTAACAAGCTATGACATGTTCCGGACGTGATGTCTGGTTTGCTGTATCAGGCTGACGTGCATTCCGCATCTGTGTGTGTGTGTGGTCCAGACAAGGCCTAGGCACAAACATTCTTCATGAAGTGGCATGTGCGGCGACGCTTCCAGAAGGTGGACATAGGCCGACGTGCACGCAGCGCGGGGAAGGAGGCGCGGGGTGGGCCCGGCGCCACGCGAGCAGGCGCAGGAAGCCAACGGCAGGCGCACTCGCCGCGACAAGCGTGCCTTCTCGGCGCGCCCGCAGCGGTGAAGGCCGACACGAGTGTGGTGTCAACCGCGCTCCGCCTCAGTGCGGCATGCGCCCCCCGCGTTCTCCACGAAGGCCAGGCAACCCAAACACGCTTGAGGCACATTGCGTCCACAGGGCTCCAAACGCCGTTCTTGCAAGTACTCACGAATCACGAATCACACGGACATGGCTGGGCCAGGAGGACAAAGACAGTACGATGGTTGACGCTCTTGCAGAACCAAGAGCAGCAGCAAAGGCCTCGTCAGGATCACGTGCCAAAACCGTGAGCTCGCGCAATGGCAGCTTGGCTTCTTTGTCGTTTCGCCAGCGCACCAGCTCTTGTTCAACGTCCTTGCGCATGAGGTCGTCGCCCGGCCAACTGCCCAGCCCGTCTCGTACGTAGGCCACAGGCCGTCTGATGGCGCCAGACTTACGAAGCCAAGATACAGAAAAATCATCAGCAATGCTCTCGAAACGGCGATGGCCCTCATGGACTGGAATCGACCCATGGAACCAAAAACGCCCCACGCACACCATCAGAACATTTGAGCAGCGGTGTTTTTCGTCTCTTGTGAGATATTTATAGCGGAAATAACTCCGGGAACCGGGGCGCGAAAGTGCACGGGACTGTGGCCGCGGAAGCACGCGGAAGGGTTGCGGAAGCACATCTCCGCGGAAGCTCCCGCGCAAGCGACGATAGAATGCTTGTTGTATTCCTGGAGGCCAGTGGGCGTGCTATTTGATGTGGGTTTCAGATGCCTGGTTCAGAGTGGGTTATACAGAATTTCCTTGGTGTTTTCTGGGAGTTTTGAGGCTACAGCCTTTCGTACGAAAGCGATGGACCCTATTCAAAATAAGGCTTCTATAGAGACCCCGGGCCAAGCTTCCTGCACAAGGATTCAAAAAACCCAAAAACCCATGTAAACTCTCGACCATAAAGCAAACAAGTCGGATCTTGAGGCTCGAGCGTCCCAAAACCAGGCTTTCGAAGCCTTGGAAGCCTTATATTTGTGAAGTTTGACGCGAACTCGGCGGAAACGCCGCGGAAGCTCCGCGGAAGCTCCGCGCGGAAGCCCGCGTGCCCATCTGAAGGCCCAGGCCCTTCCTACTGAGTCCGCGCTCTTGAAAATAGATGGTGCAGCTGCGCAGCTGCTGCCAGCTCAAGCTGCAGCATTCTCACATGGAACGCGCGTCTCATCGTGTAGTCGCATAGTTCCAGGGTAGCACACTACATCCCAGAACTGCCCTATCTATCACTATGACATGCATGCCTCCAAAGGCGGGCGCTGCAAAACAGGTCGCGAAACCATGCAAGCCCTTCTCTATCCACAACTTTCCAAGCAGTCTGCGAGTAGCAATCGAACCCCTTCCAAGTTTCAACACGGTGTTTCCTCGAGCTCGCACGCTTTGGACCACCCGACGTGTGTTCGAGTTTATATCTTACGGACCTACTCGCGGAAGCAAGTTTCTCAAAAATGAGCGAAATCAGTCCGCGGAAGCGTCCGCGGAAGCAAAGGAAGCAGACGAGCAAAAACAATACTCGCGGAAGGACCGCGGAAGGGTTCCGCGGAAGGGATCGTTATTTCATAGAAAATCTTCTAGGGATAAAAACCACGGCTCATTTAAGTTTCTAGAATGAAAGCCTCCCCCTTAAGTTGATAAAGATCATATGTTAAACATAGAGCCAATTTAAAACTAGAAAAGGGATGGCCCGAAAGCGTCGATTTGCCGTGCGTTGACTGCAGGCACTCGACTCCTTGCACTCGAATTGTATGCACTTGGACAAGTGTATGCACTTACATGGTTGCATACTCACTTGTATACTGCACTGGTATTCTGGACTGGACGCGTATGCACTTGAACTGCATGGCATTCAAGTGTGTCTTGAGTTGAATGCCATGCACTTGTGGTCAACTCTATGCACTTCATTTGTATTCTCTACATATGAGGTTAACGGACTTGAACTCGACACTGTTGAACTCTATGCACTTGAGCAAGTGCATTCGACCAGAACTGTCCAAGAGGCTGATATGCACTTGAACTGAATGCACTTGGACAACTGTATGCACTTATATGGTTCTAGACTCTGTGCATTGCACTTCTATGCACTTCCACTGCATGGCATTCACATTCGAGCCCCACGATATTTCCCAGGTTTTCGACGCCCCGGAATTTGGCGAGGTTTTCGAGGCCCCGGAATTCGAGTCCCACGATATTTGCGAGGGTTTCGACATCCCGGAATTCGGGTCCCACGCTATTTGCGTGGTTTTCGACGGCTGTCGAGTCCCGCGATATGTGCGATGGTTTCGAATTCCCGGAATTGGAGTCCCACGATAGTTGCGAGGATTTCGAGGCCCCGGCATTCGAGTCCCACGAAATTTTGCGAGCTTTTCGAGGAACTCGAGTCCCACGTTATTTGCGATGGTTTCGACGTCCCGGAATTCGATATTTGCGAGGTTTTCGAGGCCCCGGAACTCGAGTCCCACGATATTTGCGATGGTTTCGACATCCCGGAATCCGAGTCCCACGATATTTGCGAGGTTTTCGACGAGAAAAGACAAAAGCATCCCCGTGTCTTCACGCGTGTGGAAGTCCGTTACCATGCTATTGGCGGTGTTTTCAAGCGCCCAGATGTCCGTTACCGTGCTATTTGCGGTGTTTTTCAAGCGCCCAGATGTCCGTCACCATGCTATTCTCCGCGTGTCCGCGGCGTACTACGTCTGTACTACAAAAGTCTACTTCCCAGCCACGGAAGCTCCGCGTGTCCGCGGCGTATTACGTCTGTACTGCAAAAATCGACTTTCCAGCCACGGAAGCTGCGCGTGTCCGCGGCGTACTGCGTCTGTACTACAAAGGTCGTCCCCGGCGTACTAGATTTGTACTAGCAAAGTCGACTTTCCAGCCACGGCAGTCCCCGGCGTACTACGTCTGTACTTCCAGAGTCCCTGGACCACCGTTCTCCGAAGAATTTTAAGTGAAACTGGGAAACAAGTTAAACAAGGAAAACAAGGGCAACGACATTTCTTGGACATGAGGGCTTCCCTCTCGGCAGAGTCCCGTAGCCAACATGAAGGATTGCAGAAGCAGTTGCAGGACACGGTGAAGAGTCTGCAGGCTCAATCAGATGCGAAATTCGCGGTGATTGAGGCAAGATTGGATGCTCTTGAGGCGACTTATAGACGGTGCCCAGATGACGGACAAGCGTCGCCACATTCAACTCATGGCTCGCGTGCGGGAAGAACCATGTACACCGGCTGGGCAAATCAGCAAGCCCCAGGTTCTACGAGAGGCTTTGACCCGCAGGATCCTACCTTCCAGATGGTTGTTGGGGGGTTTGCTGTGGACAAGCGACAGGAAATCGATGAGTCTCTGAAGGTCTTGTACGAGGATGAGGAGTTGAAGTTGCTTGTACAGTCGCATAGGTCGGACTTCCGTGACAACAAAATTGTGCATCTTAAGGTTGAACCTGGTGACGGATTTCGCTCCATGAGACAGAAGCAGCGGGCATTCATTGCGAGATGGAAAGACATCACGCCCAAAAGCAAGGCCGCATGTTCCCGTGACAAGCCTTTGTGGGCGAGCCAGAATCGCACCCCAGAAGAGCGGGCTAGGATTCGAGCTGTCGTGTTGACCGTGCGCTTCCTGGAGCAGCTCCAGCCCAGCTTGGCGTCGGAAGAGAAGCACAAAGTTGAGCTTGGATGGCGTAGGGGGGAAGTGTGGGTGCATGATAAGCGTGTGTTGCAGAGTGTGAGTGCGCAAGCGCCGACTTCAACCGCCCTGCCAATCAAGCATGTCAACGGTGATGATTCGCCATATTGGTTGAATCCGGCTCAGGTGGCTGAGGCGCTTGGCGTGACTGAAGAGACTGTCGCCACGCGCTGGCGGGCGTTTCGAGACTGATTTGCAGAGAGTTGATGTTTCACCGGCCGCGGTGCCTGCACGCGCCGCGAGCTGGAACTTGCGGGGCAAGTCCGTTATGGTTGTCCGGCATCTCCTTGACAGTACTGCTGATTTTGATGTTCTCGCCCTTCAAGAGGTCGGGGGACTTGCGATTGCTGCGAATTCATGGGAGCTTGACCCGGTCACTGTTCCCGATTTCACTCTTGTTGCGACGTCGGCGCCGGGTGCTTGGTTGAACCAGGTCGTTGCTTTCCGCAACTCTGCCTTGTGCTCCCTAGACGGCGTGCGCCTGTGTAGCGGCGGGTTGATTGTGAGGGCGAAGTTGGCCAACTTGACGAAGCCTGTCTGGTTCGGTAGCATGCATTTCCCTCACTCAGGCCGCTCACTGGAAGCCTTCGATGACAGCGTTCAAGACTTTGTTGAGACTGTCGCCTCCCTGCCTGGCTGTTTGTGTGTGGGGGCTGACCTTAATGTTGATGTTCATCAAGCTTGGCTGTATGATGGCAGGGCTTGCTTGGCGTGGGACGTGCTGCATGAAAGGGGGATGCAACTCCAGTCGCCTGGCGAGCCCACGTGGGTGTCACATCGTGGCACGCAAAAATCTCTGGATTACTTCATCACCAGGCTTGCAAGCCCTCTGCGTGTTGCTGCTGAAGCAGTAGTGTTGCCACACCTCCGAATGGCGCTAGGCACTGACCACCACTGCGTTGCGTTGGAATTGAGTGCCCAGCGGTTGAAACGGCGGGACTTGCGCGACGCCAATGTCTTCCATTCGTGTGGTAGATGGCAGTTCCCGTGCGATGCTGTGCGTGACGCGGTGGAGTTGCTACGGGCGTATCGTCCTGTCGACAAGCCGTGGACTGCTCTGGACTTTGCTTGGGTCGCACGTTGCAGTCGCCGTCGGTCTGATTCGTGGCGTTTCCGCGACCCCCCTGCGGTTCGCCAGCTTGTTGACTTGAAGCACGCCACTCCTGACTGTGTGGAGCGGGAAAAGTTGTCGCGACGCATTGCTGAGTTGCGGGCCCAAGAACGCGCCCAATTCAAAGCTCGGGCAAGCTGCTCAGGGGCATCCGGGTGCTATCCGCCACCTCCAGCGGAAGAAGCGTTCGGACATGCATCGGTTCTTCATACATCATCATGGTGCGAAGCAAGCGGTCGCCCACTTGAAAGCTTTCATGCTTGAGAAGTTTGGCGAGGCGGGCGATGAGGCCCGCCGTCGCTGGGAGGATGAACTGAGCGAGGCCGCGTCGTCGGCTGCATGCTTGCCTGTTGGTGATTTCAGCATGGAAGAGCTTGTGTGTGCTCAGTGTGTGCTGCAGCTGAGTTGAAGAAGCGCCGTAAAGCTACGGGTGCTGATTCGGTCCGTGCCGAGCTTGTCTCACAACTGCTTTTCTCCGACGTTGCTGATGAATTGCTGCGCATGTTCAACGATGTGTTCCGCCGTCGGGCACCGTATCCTACAGACTGGAGAACGCATGTTGCGGTGCTAATTCCGAAGATTACGCACCCGCTGACGGGAAAGCATTTAGCGGCCTATCGTTTTGAGTTCGGTTCTCCAGAAGCTCTACGCCAAAATGCTCTGGAAGCGCTTGGAGCCGCGTGTTGCCCTTTACCGGGGGGGACAGACTGGCTGCCGTCCCCATGCTCAGGGTGCTGAAGCAGTGACTGCATGTCGCTCGTTGATTGATAAATCCAAAGAGTGGCGGGAACATCTTGTGGGCGTGAAACTTGATGTGGCGCAGGCCTTTGATAGAATCCACAGGCATGCGTTGCTGCGTGTGCTACGGCCGGCGTACGGTGAGGCTTCCCATGAAGTCCTTGCTGTCGCTGAAGTGCTTGTTCAGTCTGATGTTCACTTCTCTGTCGCTGGCGAAGAGTGGGCGTGCCCCATGGCGCGGGGCATTGTGCAAGGTGGCACGCTGAGTGCCTCCCTTTTCAGTTTAGCTGTGGATGATCTTTGCAGCCGGTTGCAGGACAAATGGCAAGATCAAGGCCGTCAGGCCCCACTCAATGTGGGACAAGTCCAACAATGGATGTGGGCCTATGCCGATGACCTTATCCTGTTCAGTCGCAGCGTCTCGCAGTTGAGTCAGCTCCTCGCGGACGTGCGTCACGAACTTAGGTGCATGGGGCTTGAGGTTAATGTTGACAAGACGCGGGTGATAGCGGCACCTTGGACGGCCCTTCCTGGCTCGCTTGTGCAGCTTGATTTCCCTGTGGTGGGGCGCGTCACTTACTTGGGTTTGCCTGTGGGGTTCGAAGTGAGCAACGCAGACGTGGGCGCAGCTTTGCTGGCTAGGGCCTGGAGAGCGTTCTTCCAGTATAGGCCGGTGCTTTGTCATCGCGGCGTTGCTGTTGCTCGCAGGTTGGCCTTGCTCAACACGTATGTTACTAGCACGTGGTCGTGGGCTGCATGTCATTGTCGGCCTACCACCTCTTTAGTTCAGTCCCTCCGCACGGCGTGGTTGTCCATGGTCACTGCCATTGTCGGGTTTTCCCGGGATGAAGCACACTTGCAGTGGGCACAGGACTTCACAGCCAGAAGACGCGCCTCTCGGCAGTATGCCCGCATGCTGGGCTTGTCAGATTGGGGTGAGCTGCTCGTGTCGCGTGTGTTTGCTTGGTGGGGCCACGTCGCGCGGATGCCGGTTGAGCGGTCCAGACCTGCTGCGATGACACTGCACTATCGCGGTATGCGCCAGTGGAGGGCAATTCAGCGCGAGCCTCACAGTGGAGTTGCGCACCCGACGCGCGGTAGCTGGCCTTCCCCCGATCGCACCCTGCAAGAGTTCGTTGAGTCGGAGATTGCTTCGACTGCTGACTGGATCGCTGTTGCCCAGGATCGCGCCGCCTGGAAGGCCCTGTTGACTGCATGGCGTGACAAATGGAAGCCTGCCGAGCAAAGCGTCTCCCTGCATGGCCGGCAGCTTGAGACAGTGGGCGAGAGCGTGTGGTTGACGCGCGTCGTCGGCGGCTCTGTGCCTGGGCGGACTGGTCCTGGTGCTTCGGGTCCTGGACCGCTGGTTTCCAGCGTTGAATGCAACGGATGGCAGATAGCTGTGGATGGCTCGTGGGGCCCCACGCTGGAGCAAGAGGATAAAGTTGCGAGTTGGGGACTTGTCCTATGGCATGATGCTCTGCCTCCGCGTGCCTGGGTCGCGATGGGAGGTCGTGTTGAAGCCAGCGCAACAGGCAGTAATGGCTGCGCGCGTGCTGAGCTTGAGGCGTTGCGTGTCGCTTGCCATTGCTGTGTCTGCCCGCCGCTCATGCTTGAGGACGCAGAGGTTCAGGCTTTCTTGGAAGTTGAACTCATCACCACTGACAGCCTGTGGGCGCTTAATGTCACCAAGGAGAACTTCTGGTCAACGCAGCATGTGGACGTCGCCGTTCAAGTTATTGCAAGCGTGTGAGCGTGAAATGCATGAATTCCTTATAAAATAGTAATAAAATATAGTTCATTGAATTCATTTCTTTGTTCTTACATTTAGTTTATTAGTATTACAAAGAGTGATAGAAGATGTACGAAATAAGCACAAGATTCGTGCATTAAATCTATTGTATTCGTTCACACATGCACGCTACGCTCTTTTCCTTATCTTCACGGGCGAGTAAAAGAAAGATAAAAGACGCCCGTGTGCATGAACGAAGCAAAAGAACGAACTAAATTACAGGAAAAAGACTCATGAATAATAGAATTCCTGCGGCCCACATTCTTTTTGTTAAAATGGCCGCTATACCGAAGCCTATGGAATGTGATTTCTGAATCCGTGCGCCTTAATCATGTGCGAGGGCATGCGAGGCACGTTGGCAACTGCTGGGCGCACGCTTGTGCGCAGAGGGCTCGTTTGTATGGTCAATTTACATGTGTGGGAGTCCCTACGGCCAGACCAGCTGACAACGACCCTTTTCAGGACCGCTAACTTGCGCAGGACCTGCCTCCCCTCAATGGCGCTGGCGATGGCGGCGCAATGGCGCTGGCGATGGCGGCGCCGCTGTGTGCTGCTGGTGCAAGCAACCAAAAAAAAAGAGCCATAGGATGGCCACCCCGTACTCGAGAGAGGAGCAACAAGAAAAAAAAAAACCATAGGCTGGCCACCCCGTGCTCGAGAGAGGAGCAAAAAAAACACATATACATACACACACACACACACACATGTTCACCTCGGTTCGCTCCTGGATGCTTCTGCATAGCTGGGGGGACCCCTTGTACAGCTGGAGGGTTATCCCCTCCGTGCTCGATGCTGAAAGGCGGTTCGCTCCTGGATGCTTCTGCATAGCTGGGGGAACCTTGCTGCTGGAGGGTGTATCCCCTCTTTGCAGATGGAACGCCCCGTGTGCCATGGTTGTACTCAAGCCGTTGGTGCTCAGGCCGGCCATGACCAGCCAGCCTGTGGTTCTTGGTGGTGCTTCATGGGCTGGTGCTAGGATGTGTAGCCGCAAGCTGGTGGCGCGCTCAAGCTGATGGTGCAGACATGGTGCGGCGCCGCAAGCTGTGAGTGCTGGTGCTGCGACTGCCGCGGCCGAGCTGGTGGACGCAAGCTGATGCGCATGGCCAGGCTGGTGGTGCTACTACAGAGCCAGCTGATGCGAGCTGGGGGTGCTGAGACTGGCGCGGCTAAGCTGGATGCTGCTCCGTTGGGAGCAGCTGGTGCTTTAGTGCTGCGGTGGCTGCGCATGGCCAGCTGGTGCTACTACTACTGGGCAAGCTGACGCATGCTAGGGGTGCTGAGACTGGCGTGGCCAAACCGGTGGCACTGCCGGTGGGTGCTCCGATAGGAGCTGATGCTGCTTTGGTGTTTTGCTGCTGCGGAGGCTGTGCGTGGTCAAGCTGGTGGTGCTACTACGGGGCAAGCGGACTACGGAGCACGTTGTCGCAAGCTGGGGGTGCGGAGATTGGCGCGGCCAAGCTGGCGGGTGCTCCAGTCGGAGCTGATGATGCTTCTACTACTGAGCAGTTTGACGCATGCTGGGGGGGCTGTGCCTGGCGTGGAAGCTAGACGTGCTTTCGTGCTCACAAGACTGGGCGAAGAATTATGTGCAGGACGCGTACATGTTCACTTTGACTGAGTCTTTGGAGGAGGGTTGGCTAATACGGCCTCGCAGCTTCGGCAGGGCGGGAGGGAAAAAACGTAAAATTAAATGAAAACAAGTAGAACTTTTATGAAACCTCCATGCTGTAGCCAGTACATGTTGATCAACGCAGCCATGTTGTCGCATGGACGTGTAAGCATGTACATGCATGCTGTAGCCATACAACCTTGCCCGAAAACATTGCTTACGATTGCAGACTTGTGCAACAACTTGCCCAATGATGGGCGCAAGCGAATGTGCCACAAAAAGCCGCGCCTGGAAGGAATGTCGTTTACTAGTGGTGCGTATTCGCTCGGCGGTCTTGTCGGGGTACGTGGCAACAGTCGGAAGTACCCTTGGACGAGTTTGCTCCCCACCACCATCGTTCGCTCGGTTTGCCCCACAGCACATTTCAGCAGCACAGTTTTGATTCGAAACATTAAGTTTGACATGCACGTAGACAAAAACGTAGCGCTTAGCAAACCCGGTGGAGGTGTGCGCGCACTGGTGATGGGCGACGTATTTCGACGACTCGTCAGTCGCACACTCGCGCAACAGTTTGCGGAGCAGTTTAAGCAGGCCTGTGCCCCTTTCCAGTACGCTCTCAGCACGAGGGCGGGCCCCGAGGCCTTGGTACGGGCGGCCACGGAAGCGGACCCGCGCACAACCATCTTGGGCATTGACGGCGTGGGGGCTTACGACCACATCTCCCGAGCAAGCATGCTTGGCGGCCTTCGCGATCATGCTCAGCTCTCAGGCTTGCCCCCCTTCGCCGCCATGTTCTATGCCCGCAGTAGCCGCTACCTTTTCTACGATGCCGAGGGACGCGCACGAAGTGCTGCAAGGGGAGGGCGGGGAGCAGGGGGATCCATTGATGCCGGGGCTATATGCACCAGGGAGGCAGAGTGCGCAGTTGCATGGCTGCGCCTGCATGGATTTGAGGCGCCCTCGTGGACGTCCTTGCTCGATGGCGCCGCGCCCTCGCACGCGGCGGAGGCTGACAGTGTGGGCCCGCCAACCACGCGCAAAGGATGGCAGCGTTGCGCCGGGGCTGCCGTGGAGAAGCGCGCGCTCGAATTGTTTTTTTCAGACCTTGACCCTGCATTTCGAGCGCTGCTGCTGTCCCAAAGCGGTCCCGGCGCGAGCTGCGCAATGACTGTTTTGCCCACAGGACCGGATTTCGCCGTCCCCAGCGACGAATTCCGGATCATGCTCTTACGCCGCCTCCGCATGCCGCTCCCCTGGCACAAAAGCGATG